CTAGATTGAGAAGATGCACAACAAGAAGCATAAAAGAAGTGATCCTAAAAAAACGGCAAGGCCGAGGACAGAGGGGTGTGACGGCCGGAAGAATCGGCTGTGTACCTCTATGTACAGCTCGTGTGCCACATAGAGAGGTGGGTATACTTTATGGTCAAATGACCATACTGCCTTGTACGGTTTGTAAGGGGGCGTATCGAAGCATATTCTTGAATCCATTTGGCTATTAACTATGTAAGGATCGGGTTGGTGGTCTTAAAATAAACAAGAGGGGTGTGTTGAATGACTTCACTCGGATTACTCGCTCGTCTATGGGCGTTCAGGGGTCTACGAATTGAAAAGGTACAAATGGTTTGGTGAAAGCTCTGAAAAGGATCTTAAGACTAGTGTGAATTGCCAGGGTAAACATCCTAGAAAGTTAGTTGTCTTGTGTCTGACTTGGCCTTGTGGTTGTTGAGTGGCTAGAGACAGGAGAGTTATGTCTCTAGGTCTGAGGTGGCGAAGAGAGAGCACTGGAGCTGTTCAGACACACAATTACGTGAGAAACATTCAGTTTCAATATGAAACGCCTCCAGCCTCTAGTACAATAATGCAGTTTCTGTTACAGAGGCAGCGAAATTTTCACCAAAGAGCACGCATGTTTGGTTAAGATAGTGTGAAATAAAACAACAGTGAACGATTCAAGATCACCATTTCATAAAGATCGTGAAAACGTAGATGCACTGACAGAAAACAAAGAGGTCAACTGTCGACAAGAAGGCGACAGCCAGGAGTACTGCTCTAATCTTTCTCTACTTTGCATCGACATCTAGGTATTTTCACAGGTGCTGCAACCGTTCCAGTAGATCAATAATCCCATGTTGCTAAAAGAAGACATTTATAAAAACAAAGTATGCAGCTGCTGTACAAAACCTGAAAGCAGTGTGATGTGCAGAAACTGGTATTCATGCAGAGCTCCTGGATGAAACCTGAATTTCATTCATACACGAACAGAGAAGACAAAGGATAAAGGGGGTATTTGGTTTAGAAGTCCTAGGACTTTTTCTAGTCCCAGGGACTAATCAAAAAAGACTCTCCAGTAGAGTCTTTTTCTAGTCCCTGTAGAAAAAGTCCCTCCCGTTTGGTTCCTAGGGACTTTTTCTAGTCTCCGAGACTAAAAAGTCCTTGAACCAAACACCCCCAAAGTCACACAAGCAGGATCATAGCAAGAACTCTCTCAAGAAATGTAGGGATCATGGTAAGAACCGAACATGATAGACATTCAGAGACAGACTAAATCGGCACTGTTACTATTTCTCCGGTTCATGAAACATTTTGTGTTCAACACGTACACAACCAGCACATAAGTTACAGGATAACAGAGTACGAACAGCAAGCTAACTACAGAGAACCATCGATCGACCAAGAAGACAGGGAACAACCTAGCCTAAGAGGAGGTGAACTTGGTGACGGCCTTGGTGCCCTCGGAGACGGCGTGCTTGGCGAGCTCGCCGGGGAGGACGAGGCGGACGGAGGTCTGGATCTCCCGGGACGTGATGGTGGGCTTCTTGTTGTACCTCGCGAGCTTGGCGGACTCGGCGGCGAGCTTCTCGAAGATGTCGTTGATGAAGGAGTTCATGATGGACATGGCCTTGGAGGAGATGCCGATGTCCGGGTGCACCTGCTTCAGCACCTTGAAGATGTAGATCTTGTACGTCCCCACGCTCTTCTTGGCCTTCTTCTTGCCCTTCTTGTCAGCACCGCCCTCCTTGGACGCCGGCGGCCTCTTCTCGGCCTTGGTCTTCTTCCCCGCCGTGGTCTTCTCGGCCTTCTCCTCCACCGGCTTCTTCTCCGCCTTGGGGGCCATGGATGCTGCTGCTTTTCACCGGGGAGAGGTGTGTTGTTTCGCTGGGAGGTAGGAGGAGTGGTGGGGAATCGGCGGCGGGGGTGCGGCGAGTTTATAGGAGGGGAGAGCGGGCTCTGGTTGGTGGAGGGGTGCGTGCCACGGATCGGTGGCCTCCAGTGGTTTGATACGATCTCAGCCGTTCGCCTCTGTGGGTGATGGACGGTTCGGATGCGCCTCGGCGCGGATCGCTGACGTGGCGGAATGGTGGGCGGGTAGCAGACGGGCCTCGGCCCGCGCGCGCATATACGAGTACCAATTGGGCTTTCCCCGTGGCGGGAATTTTGAGTTCAACTGTTACTGTTTTTCCATGGACATTTTGCTTTCAGGAGCAAAAATATTTCTTTCAGCAAAATTTGCAAATTCCAAGATCCTTTTCATGCAAAATACATGCAAAATACCAAGATCCTTTTCATGATAGCAAGCATAAGTTTAGAGAGCTTGTCTTCACTAGAGAGGTTGCAGGGGTAGTCTTGCTCGCCACCAAGATTTTAGCCCTCTAGGATAAATAATAATAATTTACTTTAAGAAGGATGCAAGAAAAATATTCTATACAATAGCATACAGACTAAGAAGAATTCTAGCAAGTGTACTACTGGAAAGAGCATTTCAATACACAATTAAGCAAAAAAATAAATCATTTGAAGCTAAAATAGCCTGTCAAAGTTCGGTCAAATTTATCTACTTGAATATTTAAACAAAACTAATCAAACTGGGAGTAACTTCGATGGCGTAAAACCAGAATACATCGTCAGGGAAGCGGTAAGCACGCGTGGGTTATGGGCCTATGGGTCGATAACAGATGGGATCGTACCCATTTAAATGAAGGATTATCCCCCAAAAAATAGATGGCGACGAGGGCTCACCGGCATGGAGATGGACGGCGGTGCTCGGTGATGTTCTAGACATGTCGGGTATGACTACTACTACCGAATGGTGGGTCGCAGTGTGGTGCGGATCGACAAAATGGATATAAGACCCTAAACTCATTGCAAAAACCACTGCACATTTTCAGTTAAGCAAAATGAATGATCTAATTTTTTGCAGCAGGATCATCAACTCATTTCAGTTACCCCTGCAGTGAAAAGAAAATGGTAGAAATGACAATCATGGAGATGAGTACCAGAAGAGCCACAATGCAGTGACTATACAACCAGCATCGCAACAAACATTGTTCAGCCATTGGACTCGACGCCTTCCAGCAGTTTTGAACTGCGAGGCCAAAACCGACAGGGGTTTCCCCCTCCCCCTGTTCTGTCAGGGAGAACAGACCAAGTTTGGCTAGTATTTTTTTGAGGATTAGTTTAGCTAGTAGAAGAAGCACAAGAGCTGCTGTGTTTTCTCAACCTATATCTATTCCATCTATCTATAGGCAAAAGTAAGCACCCATCTCTGCTTTCATCGTATCCAAGACGGCAAAACTTGTGTCAGGACTCCAACTCTGACCTTTCTCTACTCTGCATAGACATCCGGGTGCCGCAGCGCATCATAGGTTGAATCAACAGAAATAATGAGGAAGTCAAGCTGCAGACCGCTTTTCAAATTCGTACCAAGAAGACCTCAGAACAAGAACAAACTTGGAC